CAGATTTTTTTGAAGTAATTCATAAATTAGAGGAAATCATATAATAAATGCTCAACATATAAATTTTAGGAGAACACCTTTTTTACATATAATTGTGCTGCGAATGTCCTTTAGATTCTCAATTTCCATTTCAGAAACATTCTTTATATCTTCATTCACTATATAGATATTTACAAATTGAATGTTACACAATTATTAAATATCCAGCATAATATTAAAAACCCATCCCCATTGATGAGATTTCCAGTTTCAGTAGTATTAGGATTAAGTCTAAATAAAATTTTTACGCGACATTTATTTAAAGAATATGACTTAATTATATTTGTTAAGTATTCTCTTTAATTTTGAGAATTTTTATTTTTAGATGATTGAAGGCTAATCGAAAACTTTTGCAATACTGTGAATAATATATTCTCTTAGTGATAAACAATTAAAGACTCATCCATCTCTTTGCTGTTAGTGTTTAATTAAAGTGTTATTAATTGCATTTAAGAATTCATTCTTAGCTTCTTAGGACTTATTTTTAAGAAAAGAAACTTATTTTACAGTTTCTTGGCTCATTCCGTTTATATATTTATTGCTACTTTCTTACCATATAACAAATTCAAAGGTCATTCTTTATTGTCTCTTACCAGCATATAAGGCTTTAAAGGGAACAACAGTTGGAGTCTAATTTTAAGTTTTTGCAATGTGATTCAACGAATTCACTCGTGAAGAAAATTAGACTCAACTTTTCTTGAAATTTTAAATGTCAGATGCCGTTAAACATAGCGAAAGCCAATTCCTCAAGGTTATTATCAACAAATTAATTTTTAAAATAAATACTTTGTAGTGATATAAATTATAACAATTAGTTAGTCCAAAATTTTCAAATGTTTACTTCAAATTAGAAACAAAGTTTATTCAGTTCTAAAAATCTAAATCTAATTCGTTTATAAAGCTATAAACTTTGTGACCCTTTTAATCTTTAAGGTACTTATTTTTCTAAATTGGATAATATCTCAAATGTGATATATATTAGGAATTTAAATCCTCGCTTCTACTTTTTAAAAACTGAATTGGATTAGGCTATTAATTGAGATAAGATATTTTATTTATCTAATAGTTAAATATTAAGCTAGACTATTTTTTACGAAAAAATGAACTCCATTAAAAACAGTTGCAATAATCTAAAAATATTTTAAACTACTGAAAAGAAATTTTTTCTCAATTTTTAAATAGATATTCAAGTACAAGAAAAAATCTCGGCAGATAGATAAACACTAGTCTTCTACAAATTATCTTATGATTACTAGAATATTTATACTGATACTTCTTCTGATATTAAAAATATCAATTTAAAAATGAATCAGTCTACTAAATACTGATATTGATATTCATTTTAGCATTTGATTAATGTGTTAAAATGAAATTTTAGAAGAGATTTCTATCGATATTAGGTAAAGTTTTAAAGACTTTTAATGCAGATGACCAATCTTATTGTACCGCATAAATGGAACAGAATTCTCTTAGTGTAATCAGATTATTCTTGAACTTTAGATCAATCAGCAATTTTTATGTTTGCTGTAGAAATAGTAAAATAATTTGTAAAGATAGGTTCTTCATAATCGATCCAGAGAGAAAAAGTTATTTTTATAGAATAAGTAGGAAAATTACTCTTTTTTAAATCGAATTCTTATTTTTAGTTCTTAAGCATGATCAATATAGTAACAGAATTATTATTATGAGAGAGCTTTATTTACTTTTTAAAAAGGGAATTATCAAAAAAATATATATATTTAAAATTTATATTATTGTTTAGTTAGAAAAGTGTAAAAATATCAAAGATGTCCATCACAATGAATAGATTAGTAGTGAGTAAACTCTATATATCTAATAGCACTTTTACTC